ATGAGATAGCAATTAAAGTAAAGTTAAAAAAAGTTTTAAAAATAATATTAAATTAAATGTAAAAATAATGTAAACATCCCCCGCGAGCTCGCGCTTCGTTGCGTAAACAGGCATCGGTTGCGCCTACGTATGAAAATGACGATTGCGCTACACATGTTGGGTATCGCCGCGCACTGCCGGACTGAGAGAAATAATTCTTGGGCCAATATTTACACGTATCTCTAAACTGATGACCCGTGGGGGGCTTTTAAAGCGTCGTCTATGGACTTTTTGGGGTATTGAATTCTATCGCCGTTTCACGGAGGCACGCAATTTTTAACCTGGGCATGTCGGGTATCTATGTACTCGTTGTAACCTCGTCTTTTATATTTTACCCCAAAAAATTATTTTATATAGGGGATTATTCACAAAGCTGCCGAAGGATCTAGCTGTAGCTTCGCCTGATCCTTCGGCTAGCTTCGGCACCAGGACCCCTTCGGTTCAGGGCTGCTGTACATGCTATTCACTATAGCCCGTACAGCCTCCGAAATTGTAATGACAGCTGGTCCCGGCCAAAAGAAAACAGTTGGGCGGAGCTATCTGTCACTGCTAGCTCCGCCCAATCGCTTTCTTTTAAAAAAAAAAAGATTCTGCTCGGTATCACCGGAGGTACCGAGCAGAATAGCCGAGCAGAATGCCGCTCGGCAACTATGAGAATAGGCCGAACAGCAGCGAGTAGTCTGCCAGAGTTTCGGCTCAGCCGCTCCAGATGTTTGATTGGCTGACTCGAACTCCTTCTGCACTTCGGGTCGGCTGAACATGCTGAGCATGCTCGGCCGACCCGAAACCACCCGATGTACGGCTGAAATCAGCCGTACAAGCCTAAAGTGAATAGCCGAACAGCGTTCGGCTCACTTCACTTCGGGGCGGTTATTCACTCGGCTGCCTACGGCAGCTTTGTCTATAACCCCCTTAGTGTTTTGGGGTACTACATTTAACATAAGTGCATTTTTGGTTTTGATAATAAGTTGCGCTAATGTCGTGCGACATATTGCATATGCCGCCGTTTTAAATATATCATGTATGGCCGTCATCAGTAATCCAATGTATGTAAAGCCGCACACAACAGCCAACAGCCAACAGCCAACAGACAGGACCTCCATGTAAAAAAGTTTATTCCCAGGAATCTACAATGTTACAAGCGTGACAAGATCCACAGGCTCTCCTCCTCTCCTGCTCTGCTGCTCTCCTCCTCTCCTCCTCTGCTGCTCTACTCCTCTGCTGCTCTACTCCTCTCCAGCTCTCCTCCTCTGCTGCTCTACTCCTCTCCTCCTCTCCAGCTCTCCTCCTCTCCTGCTCTACTCCTCTCCTCCTCTGCTGCTCTACTCCTCTCCTGCTCTACTCCTCTCCTGCTCTCCTGCTCTACTCCTCTCCTCCTCTGCTCCTCTCCTCCTCTGCTGCTCTCCTCCTCTCCAGCTCTCCTCCTTTCCTGCTCTCCTCCTCTCCTGCTCTCCTCCTCTCCTCCTCTGCTGCTCTCCTCCTCTCCAGCTCTCTTGCTCTCCTCCTCTCCCGCTCTCTTACCTCTCCTCCTCTACAGCTCTCCTCCTCTACAGCTCTCCTCCTCTACAGTTCTGCTCTCTTGCTCTCCGGCTCTTCGGCTCTTTTGCTCTCTTGTGGGTCTTGTCATACTTGGTAACATTGTAGATTCCTGGGAATAAACTTTTACACCGAGGTCCTGGCTGTTGAGCGTGACTTTACATACATTGGATTACCGTTAACAATAACATAATTACAATGTATCTATTAGATCTCAGGCGAGCAATTGGTGGCGATATTTCAGGAAATGCGCCGCGCCGGTTCTCCGTATTGTGGTGAGCAAACCACGCGCCACAATAACTCCGGAATTTAACACTTTCTTTACCGCCACAGAGAAGCCCGCTGATGTCTTCTCACCTCTGATCACTCCGATCAGGAGGGGGAGCTAAACTTCCACAAAATCCAGACCCACCCCTCCCCCCCTCCCCAAAATACATCTCATCATTACAGGGAAACCCCCCATAGAAGAGTTTGTGGACATGCAGCAGTTCACTCATGAGACAATTTGATATGTCCATTGAGTTAGAGGCTGGAGTTCCCTTCGACTAAAGTCGAATAGTGGGGCCCACAGTGGTCGGAACTACCAGGGTCGCAGAGGTCGCAGCTGCGATCGGGCCCTGGAGTGCCGCCACTTGGAGGGGGCCTAGGACAGGAGGAAGGGGCCCCTGGTAACCGCTGATTACCAGGATATTTATTATCCCGGTAACCGCTAATGTCAGTCCCGGGAACTCTTCCTCCTGTCCTGGGCCCTACGTGCTTCAGCGGAAGTTGGGGAGATGAGGGGAAGCTGGGGACATGGAAGAGGGTGGAGTCTGGGAGCGGAAGTTGGGGAGATGAGGGGAAGCTGGGGACATGGAAGAGGGTGGAGTCTGGGAGCGGAAGTTGGGGAGCTGAGGGGAAGCTGGGGACATGGAAGAGGGTGGAGTCTGGGAGCGGAAGTTGGGGAGCTGAGGGGAAGCTGGGGACATGGAAGAGGGTGGAGTCTGGGAGCGGAAGTTGGGGAGCTGAGGGGAAGCTGGGGACATGGAAGAGGGTGGAGTCTGGGAGCGGAAGTTGGGGAGCTGAGGGGAAGCTGGGGACATGGAAGAGGGTGGAGTCTGGGAGCGGAAGTTGGGGAGCTGAGGGGAAGCTGGGGACATGGAAGAGGGTGGAGTCTGGGAGCGGAAGTTGGGGAGCTGAGGGGAAGCTGGGGACATGGAAGAGGGTGGAGTCTGGGAGCGGAAGTTGGGGAGCTGAGGGGAAGCTGGGGACATGGAAGAGGGTGGAGTCTGGGAGCGGAAGTTGGGGAGCTGAGGGGAAGCTGGGGACATGGAAGAGGGTGGAGTCTGGGAGCGGAAGTTGGGGAGCTGAGGGGAAGCTGGGGACATGGAAGAGGGTGGAGTCTGGGAGCGGAAGTTGGGGAGCTGAGGGGAAGCTGGGGACATGGAAGAGGGTGGAGTCTGGGAGCGGAAGTTGGGGAGCTGAGGGGAAGCTGGGGACATGGAAGAGGGTGGAGTCTGGGAGCGGAAGTTGGGGAGCTGAGGGGAAGCTGGGGACATGGAAGAGGGTGGAGTCTGGGAGCGGAAGTTGGGGAGCTGAGGGGAAGCTGGGGACATGGAAGAGGGTGGAGTCTGGGAGCGGAAGTTGGGGAGCTGAGGGGAAGCTGGGGACATGGAAGAGGGTGGAGTCTGGGAGCGGAAGTTGGGGAGCTGAGGGGAAGCTGGGGACATGGAAGAGGGTGGAGTCTGGGAGCGGAAGTTGGGGAGCTGAGGGGAAGCTGGGGACATGGAAGAGGGTGGAGTCTGGGAGCGGAAGTTGGGGAGCTGAGGGGAAGCTGGGGACATGGAAGAGGGTGGAGTCTGGGAGCGGAAGTTGGGGAGCTGAGGGGAAGCTGGGGACATGGAAGAGGGTGGAGTCTGGGAGCGGAAGTTGGGGAGCTGAGGGGAAGCTGGGGACATGGAAGAGGGTGGAGTCTGGGAGCGGAAGTTGGGGAGCTGAGGGGAAGCTGGGGACATGGAAGAGGGTGGAGTCTGGGAGCGGAAGTTGGGGAGCTGAGGGGAAGCTGGGGACATGGAAGAGGGTGGAGTCTGGGAGCGGAAGTTGGGGAGCTGAGGGGAAGCTGGGGACATGGAAGAGGGTGGAGTCTGGGAGCGGAAGTTGGGGAGCTGAGGGGAAGCTGGGGACATGGAAGAGGGTGGAGTCTGGGAGCGGAAGTTGGGGAGCTGAGGGGAAGCTGGGGACATGGAAGAGGGTGGAGTCTGGGAGCGGAAGTTGGGGAGCTGAGGGGAAGCTGGGGACATGGAAGAGGGTGGAGTCTGGGAGCGGAAGTTGGGGAGCTGAGGGGAAGCTGGGGACATGGAAGAGGGTGGAGTCTGGGAGCGGAAGTTGGGGAGCTGAGGGGAAGCTGGGGACATGGAAGAGGGTGGAGTCTGGGAGCGGAAGTTGGGGAGCTGAGGGGAAGCTGGGGACATGGAAGAGGGTGGAGTCTGGGAGCGGAAGTTGGGGAGCTGAGGGGAAGCTGGGGACATGGAAGAGGGTGGAGTCTGGGAGCGGAAGTTGGGGAGCTGAGGGGAAGCTGGGGACATGGAAGAGGGTGGAGTCTGGGAGCGGAAGTTGGGGAGCTGAGGGGAAGCTGGGGACATGGAAGAGGGTGGAGTCTGGGAGCGGAAGTTGGGGAGCTGAGGGGAAGCTGGGGACATGGAAGAGGGTGGAGTCTGGGAGCGGAAGTTGGGGAGCTGAGGGGAAGCTGGGGACATGGAAGAGGGTGGAGTCTGGGAGCGGAAGTTGGGGAGCTGAGGGGAAGCTGGGGACATGGAAGAGGGTGGAGTCTGGGAGCGGAAGTTGGGGAGCTGAGGGGAAGCTGGGGACATGGAAGAGGGTGGAGTCTGGGAGCGGAAGTTGGGGAGCTGAGGGGAAGCTGGGGACATGGAAGAGGGTGGAGTCTGGGAGCGGAAGTTGGGGAGCTGAGGGGAAGCTGGGGACATGGAAGAGGGTGGAGTCTGGGAGCGGAAGTTGGGGAGCTGAGGGGAAGCTGGGGACATGGAAGAGGGTGGAGTCTGGGAGCGGAAGTTGGGGAGCTGAGGGGAAGCTGGGGACATGGAAGAGGGTGGAGTCTGGGAGCGGAAGTTGGGGAGCTGAGGGGAAGCTGGGGACATGGAAGAGGGTGGAGTCTGGGAGCGGAAGTTGGGGAGCTGAGGGGAAGCTGGGGACATGGAAGAGGGTGGAGTCTGGGAGCGGAAGTTG